TAATTTATACCACCAATAAAAATTTTGTACTTCGTGCCGTTTTGAAGAAAAATGTGGCGCTTATGGTAGGAATACAATAGAGACCTTTTACTAAGGCTGCGTTCCTTTTGGAGCTTACAGCGCTTATAAGCATCATTTGTCTTTGTTCAATATTTGATAAATAACAAGGATGAAATGATTTTGTGAGCGCTGTAAGCAGCTGTAAGCGCCAAACGGAACGTAGCCTAAGAGTCTGGCTAACCCATTCATAAAATCAATCCGTAGTAAACAGGAAAAACATGGCGGAACATGGCTGACCAATCAAAGTGTGCGTATACGTTCAATGCGCGTATAAGCTCTTGCTTTACTAGAAAAAACATGGCGGACCAATCAAAACACTCCAAAATAAGATTCCTCTTGGCCAGACCACAGTATAACCAGTAGGTCCACTCAGCGAAAAACTAAATCTTCGTGCAGGTATCGCAACTTTTGTTTTGGGTTGAATCCAATGAAATGTAAGACGATAGGAACGTACATACATATGTGCAGACAATTTATCAGCAAATACATCAGAAATTTTCTTTTGTGATCACTCCTACGAATAATTGTTACTAATACATTTTATTTGATTCACACATTGAATTTATTGATTTATTGTATCGAATCCATATTATTACTGATCTGTTTTATTACTTGTGAGGCATTTTTCTCAATTCGATCCTGGATTTAACATGGTGGATGCTCACGTGATCCGGAAAAGGAGATCAAAGGTGCCGACACGAAGTGAACCTACTGGTTATACTGTGGCCAGACTCTTAATAAAGGGTCTCTAGAATACAATAGAGTCCCTCTAACTATCTTCTTCTTCTTCTCACTAAAGGCAGAGAGGATCCGAGAGCGGACATGTCGGCCTTTTGATTGTAACGCTAAAATGCCTGTGGCAGTCTGCGGAAACATGATGCCTCTCCACGACTGACGTCGATCATTATTTCCAAGATCTCTACTTCACCGACACTCTGTATCTCATACATCATCTCATTTCACACAGACTCTCACACACACACTTACACTTTATGATATTCTTTTTAATCAGATTGTATTTTATTAAAATCAATATTAACATAACGACACAAAAATAACATTCATTTATTTATTTATATAAACATTCATTCTTTAATGTATCAGCATCAGTGACGGTTTATATTTTATCCTCCAAATAAATTTTCTTAATTTATAATAAAAGTCTTAAGATTGACTAGCGAGTACCCACATGCCCTTGCGCACTATTGCCCTCTGAAGAAGTGGATCCAAATTACATAGCAAAATCAAAATTTCTGCACAATTTTATTAAAAATTACGCATTAGAAAGTATATTTCCTTACTTTCTAATGCGTAATTTTTCGAAAATAAAGCAGACTCGAAAAGTGGAGTTAGTACGAACTCGCACCACAAATTGTGCAGAAATCTTGATTTTGCTATGTAATTTGGATCCACTTCTTCAGAGGACGATAGTGCGCGAGGGCATTTTAGCGTTACAGCCAAAAGGCCGGCATGTCCGCGTGATTTATTATTACTTTTTTTTGTAAGAATTAAAATTTTTAATTAAAAAAAATTATTCGTTGACAATGAGACGCGAACCGGTATGCAGCAATCTCGTTATTACTAAGCAGACATGCTACCGCCGAGTCATAAAAGTTTTCTGAAAGTGTACTTTGTGCATTCCTGTGTGCGTTTGTGTTAAAATGTGTTAAGCAATTGGAAAGCACCCTATAACAGGTTTGTTAGTTTCTTCTAGGAACCTTCAAGTAAGGGATAAGACAATATCGTGCAAGATGCGGATTGGCTGTCGCCATTAGAGGGATACTTCCGATTTAATGTTGATTAAGTTGGTAATTGCTGTTTATTTATTTGCTCCGTATTAATAAGTTCGAGATGTGATCTAGACATACGTACGACGACACGAGTGTAAAATATATTTAATTGTAAAAATCATAAAATGTATGTATGTACAGTCGTGGTCATTTAAGTCACAGTATAACCAGTAGGTCCACTTTGTGTCGGCACCTTTGATCTCCTTTTCCGGATCACGTGAGCATCCACCATGTTAAATCCAGGATCGACATTGAAAAAAGTGCCTCACAAGTAATAAAACAGATAAATAATAATAT